AGAAGTGCTACAATGATAGAATAAACACAGAAGGTTATTTAAACTAGTATGAAATGAGCTATGCTGCATGCGTCCAAAGTAAGGCAAGAATCTAAAGGATTATCTAGCCTTAAGGATAAATTGACTATAGAATTTCAACTGTATCCGCCACCAGCAAAGGATCATACAAAAAAACGGGTTCCTATGGCATAGCCACGCCACTATTGTAGAGATTTAATGTCGTATAAAAGCGCACGATGAAGAGATTCGGTGGTTGATCTCACCAAGAGACAAGGACCGATTCCCGTTGAGCTGCAGCTTAAATAAAACGTGTAAGTTGAGACAGATCACGAGTCCAGGTTTCGTGTGAAACCGGGATAAGCCTTAGTCAATGATATGATTGACATCATCCGAGGGTAAAATCATTCTTGCAAATTCTTCAACTTAACAATAAGTCAAAAAGACTGTCCGAATCTTTATTATTTGCTACATAATTAATCATTACTAAAAGGTTAAATAAATTTATCATTCTAAAGTTATCTATATTTATATATGTATATATCTGTATCGACATTCACTTTTATGCGAAATAAAAGTCTCCACAACAATTTTATCTCAATAGATTCATCGAAAGTCAACTAATAATTTATGCAAAGAAAAGTTGGGTTTCGACAAATCTCTTGTTCCATTTCGAATGAAAGTGTTTGGTAAAGCGATCCGAAGCTCGATCCCAACAGAAGACGACTGGAACATTCACTTAAACGCTGGTTCCGAGGTAATCTACTACGATTTCCTTGAAAATGTGCTAAGCTTTCTCCGTCGTATGACGAACACAATCAGGGCAGGGTACCATCCTTACAACCAAATTCAAGCTAACGTGTCAAGAAAACCCCGGAATCCAACGAGATTGCCTCGGAAACAGCATCAAAAAGCATGCTCCAGTAAAGCCAATCGACAGCTGGTCCAGAGGAATCCGCCGTCGTCTTCTGGTAGGATCGACGTTCGAGTATCTTCAACAAACACTTTCACTCGAAATGGAAGTAAGCTAAACGATTAGGAACCATAATGTTTCTTGAAACTCAACTTTTCAAATATAATCCAGCATAGAATGACTTAGATAATCACTTTTGCCGGTCTCTTTGAGAGGATGTGGATGAACTATAAACCGAATCTGTGAAGAAAAGACCTTGTATAGGCTGATCTCACAGAAGTCAGCAGCTTACGGTGTGGATACCGTAAAAAAGGATGGGAATTATGGACAAGCTAAATCCAAATGTCATCAACGACCAACCCACATGCTCGAGTTTTGTTTTCGGAAAAGATCAGCGGCATCAGCCGTTGGATCCGAGTCCGGCGCTTCTAATCCAAATCTAGATATTGCTGCTAGTTTAACCCAATTAAAACATTAAAACAAACCAATTCATATAAGATGTATCAATCGTATTTACTTTAGGATGATAAGAGGAGTGGTAACTGAATTCTCCCACAAAGAATTGGGTTGACATGAAGTTTCCATAGCATTTCACATAACTTCGATTACCCAAAAGGTGTTCTCATTCAGGAGGACTGTAGTTTCGACCTCGCCTAGGTCTCATCAGCACCCTCGGTGGGACTCGAAGCATGGCAGTGCAACGTGTAATCTCGACACATCAACGACTACACCACATTGCCACTAGTGACCTTGGGTCACAGGGCAGATGTGAATATCAAGGAAGGCCAGCTATTTTTTCATATCATATTCTACGGTAGGATTTTCGATGAAGCAAAGTTGTAGTTGCTATAACAATCGACTACGTTACCTATTTTTCGTTTATAAGCATCCTATTCCGTTTAGCGTAATAAGATGTCTGGTAGTTGAGTTTTCCCAAAATGATATGAGTCGAGATTAGATGCTACAGTGTCATGGTTCGAGACCCGCTGGAGGTATTGATGAGACCTGGGCAAGTTTTAAATTACAGTCCACTTTGGATGAAAATACCATTGTGGGAAAATTCAACTATCACCGTAAAGAAAATAGGATGAATAAATCTCATATATATATAATCTACTTATAGTATCTAAAGCCTTATTATAAACGAAAAAATCATATAATGTGGTACCAAGCATCGTTTAAAAAGAGAATGCGGTATATGAAAGATACCTCCTTCGGAAGACCATTAGTTTAACGTTGTCCTGAACGATGACAATGAAAAACGACTTTCAGACACAAACAAGTTTGATCATCATCATCCTCAAGCATGCGTACAATTTTATTTATCTGTTTGAAACATTGTGAGGATTATGAAAACGTAGATACAATAGGTTTTATGAAAAATCGGCCATTTTAAGCAGTTAAGGTCCATAAAATGTATCATATCTCAGTGGCAAAATTAGACAAAAATGCTTGGATTATGCAATAACTTACAAGAATTTTTTTCCTTCCGGTATTAGAGTTGTCGGGAAATTCTTTGGCTCCCGTAGGCAAAGCAGATTCCTCAGAAGTTTTTCCATCAGTACCCTTGGAGACTTTATTGGTTGGATAGTGAGGCGGCGCCGAAAAGGTAGATGTAAATACTGCTGTGACTGGTGCAGTGGAAGTGGAAGGGATATACAATTTGGTTTCCATTTGTTCACTGAGTTCACCTAAGAGAGCAGTTGAAGTGTAACGTGAAATATTAGCGGTACTGTATAGCATAGGGAAGAGATAAAATACTAAAGGAAAAAATTAGTTGTATTGATGCTCCAAAATAACAAAGAGGTCTGAACTAGTTACCTAATTGATAAATAGATCATCAGAATATTCATTAAAATATCAACTTTAGTTTGGTCTGGACTATTTGCCCACTACAACCCGAAGCTAGGCTCTGGTAGAAGAGAAATGGCAATTTAGGCTCCGTCAAGGGTTTTTCTAATAAATTTCCTGAATGAAACAATAACGAGCAATCTGCGATCCTTCAACTTATTTCATTTCACTCAAAATCTTTAAAATAAATAGAAATCTAAAAAATACCTTATGTGAGATGTACTCACCCTATTTCGTTCAGGGTGATGAAGGTATGCGAAATTTTCCCGTCTCATATATCTGATTTACTGGTAATCTCGAAAATCTACTTATCAACACAAAATAAGCAATTTAGTCTATTTCTATAGCAAATACAACATTGTAATGAGATGTATTCACCCTATTTCGTGTAAGGTGATGAAGGACTGGTAGTAGAATTTTCCCA